AGTTATAAATGTGAGCAATTATTTGCGCACATGAAGTTTATTTTAAGTAAGAATAGGAGCAATTTAAATAATGAAAATTCAGAAACTTGAATTCGTGTTAAGACGACTAACTATAATCCAGACCTGACTGAATTAACTTCACAAGTTCTGCATCAGAGGAGACGTTAATATCGAAGAGAAAAATAAAGTTTCATTCAGTTCTGTTTTTTTATAATAATTAAAAATAGAATTAGAATTTTTGTGTTTAAAACTTCTTGTTATTTTTAATATTTATAATTATTTTCCCAAATTTTATATTATTCACCGAAAACTATCGTTCCAAAAACGAAAATACCACTGACCTGAAATGTCTGCTTAATACACATATTTTGGTTGTTTTTAACTCGCAGCCAAAAATAGTTACCGATACCCGACTTACAGTATCTATGAGATTAGAATGATTCTCGTAATGAAATGAAGATAAGTAGAACTTTTTAAGTACATAAAAGAAATCAGAGCAAACTAACAGCTTGAATAATTATAAGTATTTTATTTGAAACATATATGTACATATATTTACAAATTATGAACCTTGATTTTAATTTTAAATTATGTAAATTAGTCTAATTTCTTCAGAAGAGAAATGCATGTGGTCTAATGTGATAATCTTCTGGTCTAATGTGATCTGGTATTTCGTATTTCATATTGAAAAAGAAATTTGAAGCTTAATTGGTAGAAGCCCATTTGAAGAAAACTGCAAGAAGTTCTGTTGAAATTGATCCTATTCAGATAGCCTCGCATATAATCAGTCTTGAAATCCTTGTGAATTTGTTATTTCTAGTGAAATATGGCACTCCAAGAATCATTCCAACATATGCGATTTCAATTATTTGTAATTTTTGAATACCACTTTCTGTAGCGTTTGCTTATAGTATAGGAGATGCATAAGTAAACAGGGGAGAGAGAATCATTAATTCGTTTTTTTGGCCTTTTAGAGTTTCTGCAGAAGTGAATTCATCTTAACTAATACACTGTACTTTTTATGTCTGATATTGTTTGTATGAGATGACTATGTGCAAATCATTTTAAGAGTAATTCCAGGCATTTTATAGCGTAAAAAACAAAGAGGTCCTGCTCTCCAAATATAGTAACTTTGTCAATAATCTGATCCAGTTATTTACACTTTCTACTAACAAACTCACATGAGTTTTCAGACTAATAGAAATCTTCAGTTTCTTGGACTACTTTTCTGCGGTTAGAATTTCGTTCTGGAGCAGCTCAAGCGTGAAAGATAATTTACCAGATTTGGCTAGTACTGGGTAAATCCTTGACGGAAGTGGACTTTCGGATCGCGATTTCATTCGTTATCTAAATTTTCTCCATTTAATTTATCCAACTTCGGAATTTCAAGTATACGCTGCAGAGCATCGGCTGTGCTGTGACAATCCACTTTAATGATTGATTTGAAAATTCATACATTAAAGTAGGCAAACATTTATTTAAAAAAGCAAAACTGAGTTTTAAAATTCTCCTAATTCTCGAAAATGCTCCAGGATACGGTGCTGAAGCTCTCATAATACTGCATCCAAATGTAGGGGTTTACACTGCTGTCTGGGACGCCTCCAGACTCGCCTTCGCTTGTCATCGGGGCTCAGTTCAAAGCGGGAGTCATGACTGAAGACTATTCTACTCCAGTCAGTGACATTCCATTGCGAATGAGCCCGACACCACTGCAAACGGGCTTGAAGTTGTACAGAGGTCAATGGTAGTCGGCGCAAGGGGCGCCGTGACCTCAGGCCCCTTTCTGTGAGCCGTCTATGAATATGAATGGTCCTTGCGGTTACTGAAGCACTAGTTGCACGTACAATCGATGGTAATGATGCATCTGGGGCTGTGAGTGCCGATCTGACGATTGTTCGGTCTTCACGTTCTGTCGTTTGTCTAGGCCTACCGCTTCCTTCTTTACGCTGCGTGCGACCATGATTCACCCATTTCTGCCAACATTGTCTAATAGTGACATCGCTCCTGCTCAAATGTCGTGCTATTCGCCGATAAGACCAACCGGCTTCTTTGAGCCCACTATACGACCTCTCTCAAATTCTGACATTTGCGCATACCGTTCGCGCTCCTGTATGCGAGGCAACGTTACAGTCTACCAGAGTACAAGGAATGAAATTCGTGAAGAATTTATGACCTGGAATCATAATTTCTCATCTTAAATATCCTGCCAGTTGCGCAGATCAGATGCGCTGTAGCGACAACCGTTCATTCATTGGCACCCAAAATGTAAAATTTTGCATTTTATGTCGAAACCTTTATGCATATCAATTTGTGTCCAATTTGCTTTGTATCTTCTCGGTGTGTCATGGCGCGTCTTTTTTTTTTTTTTTTTTTTTTTTTTGTTGTTGTTGTTGTTGTTGTCTAAGAGTGTATTTATCATATTCAAAATTCATTCAACAAAAAAATGTCAGAAATTAAAACACTTATGGGGATTAACAAAACAGCGAAGCAATAAACAGCGTACACCTGTGGATATCCTGGAATGAACTACCTTTATATATGGAAGTACTATTGTGATTTTAACCCATTTTTTCGAAGTTTTGTTAAACTTAAACCGATATCCCTGCACTGCCTAAGGAAAAAATAGTTTGGTGAATTCAAGTTGATAAATTTTTGAATTGACCCTGGTTAATACATTTTTTAATAAGAATAATTGGCTATCAGTATCAGCTAAAACACAGAAAGTCAGATAATTCATTTTAATGTTTTCATTGCATTTACAAAAGTATTTGTCTGTCTATATCTTGAATTTCAGAATCAATATTTCCAACCAGTTTTTTGAAATTAGTCATTCTATTCCATCTCTTTTCTATTCGTTCCTATAGTGTGATGCATATCCGTGTATTTGTAGCAGTGTTGTTCTCCCCTATATAGTATATATATATATATATATACTAATGTAGTAATTTAAGTGCGTAGACTCCACTGGTACTTTTAGCAGCTTTCGATATCTGTCATGGCTGATGGTTAAGGCTTACAGATGTAGATAACAAAATTGGGTTTCGACAAATCACTAATCTTTAAAGGAAGATGACGTAGTTATTTGTGCGCGGTATTTATACCTAGTAGATGCAGAAAGTACTCTAAGCTGTGATTGGTTAACTTTAGTTTTCGTTACCTTTTTCAAGCAGCGTTATGTAACATAGAAATATCTCGAATTTGAGATAACAGGTGAATTTAGGGGGAGATCATAAAATCTAGAATCGTTAATTTTGAGGTTGCCAATTATTTTTAAAACAGCCATCCTATTTTGTTATATTTAACAAACACACATATTTACAAACAGCAAATGTTTGATCCATATATAGATATATATATATATGGTCCTTTTTAACCAAAAAATATAGCGCATGCAATGTCCCCTTCTTGGCTTTTCCAGCTTAGCAACTGAACAGTTATAAATAAAATGCTGTTGTCATATTGGCTGACTTCATCGCTGTTGCCTCTTCCTACAAAGCAAATTCTAGGATATATGTCTTTGGACGTGTGAATAAATTTAGAATCAATGCTTAATTCAAAGGCTTATAGAAGCTGATAAACACCATTCGTAAGTGGACCGGCTTCTCCGTCGATCGAGTAAAATATTATTGTGGTGTTGTACAATTGTTTTTATTTGTCAGCACCTTTGGATTTTATGGCAAATTTATTTCACCGACAACATATCTTTTAAAGCGCATGCATTGAATTTGTGAATTTTACTCCCGCAATTAAAGCACTTAATTTTAGTAATTTGAGTAACCTTTAGTTTTTGTGCAGAACTTATTTATTTCTGCCGAAGTATATGACTATCACAATTTAAACATAGATTTTTAACTCAATTCAAGATTCGTTGAGATTTTTGCGTCCATAAATATCTGACATATTAACTAACGAATCAATAATTTTATCTATAATTTTAAATTATTTCGTGTGCAAAACATATTCTCCTGTATATTTATTTTGTTTCATTTGCCATTTATCAAACGCAGCATTCAATTCGGCAGAATTACTCTTTTCTTTAAAAAATCTGTGGCTGAATACGAAAATGAAGTTTTGACTTTCTTATTGATAAACCGTGTACCAAAAAAGGAATTATATTGATCAGAAATTTAAAAAAAGGTCTTCAAACATTTGTGAACAATTAAAAGCTCTAACTTCATATGAACTCATCGCAGCTTCTTTATCTCTTGAATTTATATAATGTTTAAATATATATGCTTATTAATTTATATAATATATATTTATAGAAAGGAATTTACAATCTCTGATTTCTTTCCACAATAATTAGTTTCATTCAAAATTTTGACATTAGCCAGTTTTTTCTAAGTGTTACTGTATTCTAGGTCCTTGTCACAATGATTTTAAATTTAGCGGATTTGAAACTGTATTTTTGTTATTATCAGGCAATGTAAGTTGAAATCGGTTTTTTTCTCTGCTTTATTACTTCATTTGTATCATTAAAAGCTTTTTATTCATCTACGATAAAATTACTTTTTAAACTAGTCAAACTATTTAAACTAGCCCTTACCTTAAAATACTTTATTTTATGTTAAATGCATAACATCCTGTTATTAGTTCGTTTAAAATAGCGTTTAAATTTATATAATCAGTTTTGTTTTTAAGCATACTTTTATCGATATCATGATAATAAAGCCGACTAATCTAGAGTTAAACGTTTCTTATTATTACGATCACTTAATATCTTGAAATATTGCTTTATAAAATACTTAAACTGGGTCTGTAGAGCGCAGTTTTAAATTAAAATTAGTTTCCTCAAAATCTCTTTACGAACAACGTAATGAATGTTTTACATAAAAATAACATAACGAATATTTTAACATGATTAAGAAAGAGAGAGAATAAATGGATGTTTTCATAAACTTTAGAAAACGGAGAAATAATCAACTCATTTGATGCTACTTTTGTACTAGATAACTCAGAAAATCTCAATATGAAACGGCATCTTCTTCTTTTTCTTTCAGATCCACCTCGACCACCATCGTTAGAAGTGCTGAGCGTGACGTCATCATCAGTCACTTTGAAATGGAAGAAGGATACCACAGATATCGGTTCTGCAACCGGTGAGTTCTACGTAAATAAAACGAAACTGAAATACGTGCCATATTTCCTCATTTTTATGGTCCGTTGGAGGTTTCGGAAGTATTTATCTTTTTTTTTTTTTTTTTCTTTACTCAGCTTTCTCTTTGCTACACCGCAAAAATATTGGCAACATGTCTCATTCAGGTGGAAAAGAACCTCTCGTTTTCTGTTATTTTATGGATAGTATTTTAAGGTTGCTCTTAGGACGACAACATGAGAGCAGATATTTAGAGTGTTGCGTTTCCTTGAAAATGTTTCAAATTTCGTTTCTTGTACGGTTTGAAACAACTACTTTTATATGATGGTCTTGTTTATCGATGTAAAAATCTAGTATGCATTTTATATTTTTGTAATGATGTTCATTTTGGATAAATGGAAGCAACATAAACAAATAATAAATTCCTTAAAAACAAAATGCTTTACAATTAAAAAAAATATACCTTTCTTTTGTCTGTGAACATATGAAAATTGAAATTTCTTGAGAAAATTTATAGAGATTTCAACATTAGAGTAATTGGTTAAAAATAATGATATTTAAGCGAAGTTGAGTTAAAAACAAAGACATAAATAAGTTAAATAGGAATTCACTTATGGAAAATACACATATGTAATATACTAATATAATATGTAAGATATAAAATATGAAACTTAAAATTATAAATTAAATTAGCAATTGTCCCGTAAATTATTCAACTAATTTGTACATCTCTTCTCTTCTGTTCTAAGACCAGGAACTGTTTTATTAATTTTACTCCAAAAGAGGCTTTTAGTCTTGAAATGGGATTTTGCGTCCAGCCGCTATAAACGGTGTATATCACTTTTCAAATTGCTGTCACTAAATATTATCGTTCTGTATTACTTTTAAAGAAAGTAACTAAATTAAATAACCAAGATATTTAATAACGCAGAATCTGCATGCATGTATATTTCTCTCACTGTGAAAAAAAGACGGCTACTAGAGCCATCAAATTTTGAATAACCTAATCCTCCACCCGAGCATGGGAACCTGGAAGCCCATATTTTGAATTTCGAATTTGTTTCATTATTTATTTCATATTTTGTAAAGCTTTAATGAATTTTTCATCAACCACCACAACGATCTGAAAGCGAGCAGTCAACGCTGTTCAAAATAAAATATTTTTATTTCCAGCACGCGAGACTGTTTGTCGGAAATTTTAAAGATATGTTATTTTTAAATATTTTGTGATTTTGCTGTTGAATTTAATTTCATGTGGCGCAAGGGAGAAGTACATGATATTTAATAAATAAGGTAAACTTACATGACGTTAACAATAAAAAGAATAAAAAAAAAAAAAAATTGTAAACCATCTTGCAAGAAATCTGAACATTGATGTGATGAATTGTGAAAAGTCTGAAAACACAGAAAGGTTTTTATGGAAACACATAACACTGCATCAGAATTTCTAAACATATGCTGCTTTTAAAATTTTTGCAATTTTGTTGTTGAATTTTATATGACGTTTAAGTGCTCAGATAACCATGTTTAATAATAAGACTAAAAAGACCCCAAAAAAGGTGGTTAGCAGGAGTGGATGTAGTAGAAGACAGGTAGACTGCAAGTTAGAGAGAGCATAAAAAATCTTAATAGCCCTTTTTAAGCAACCGTTAGAATTTGAAATCTTTCAGATTGTTTCCCTGAATTGCGTTTTTCCAAATGAATCCGCATCATGCTATCTTATGTATGCGTAGTGTTTAGGATATTTTTTTCTGGAGTTTCGAAAGAACCTTTTAACTGTTTTTCTGAATGTGCACTTATTTTCCTTCCCTTTTTGCTTTCCATCTGCTCTTGCTAAAATGTAAACCATACCAAACTGCGTGGGTTTGAGCGGTACATATCACACCCATAGGGAAGATTTGCGAGTAATCTGTATCGCAAGAAATCATCCAGAAATAAATTATTCGATGTATCTTCGGGCACGGCTGATAATTTTTCTCTGTTCCACAGCATTCAAACTACGCTGTTCTATATATCTATTTCCAAATGTTACGTATTTTAATCATATTAAATATATATTACAAATATCTTATATATAGATTTATTTGTGCGTGTGTGTGTGTGTTAATGAGCTAATTAACATAATGGATTTCCTTCCTTTATAAATTCTGTATTGAAAGAGGCAAAAGACAGCAAACTGTTTATTATTAATCAATTAAACTCAGATTCTTTTCAGAATTTACGTCGTTCCATTCCATTGGCTGATCGCTTAGTTGCGCTTTTGTCTTTCCTGGGTACATATCAAAACCAAATTCCTCATCTAATTTCAGTACCTCTTGCTTATCTTTCTCGGTCAATACATAATTTTCTTATTTAAGCTCCAGATTTTCTCTCAACTAATGAATTATAATTCAATATTTCTAATAACTATAAATTATCTTAACACACATAGTTGACACTTACTACTTAAAATTATGCTGTAAAATATACAGTTTAGTATATCAGTATTTAAATTTACCGATTCATACTGGTTTGCACAGTAACAACTAATGTATTGACAGTCAAGATAATAGATAATTCTAATTAAATTATTATGGACAATCCGTAATTCGGTTAATATTAAATATCGTTCAAATTCATAAAGTATTCTTTTCTCTTCTCATTTAACGTAAATACAGATCTCTTCTTCCTTACTAAATTAATTAACTTTAACATTTCATTGAAATTTTAGTCTTTACAAACACATATTACGTTGTAGAACAAGAATATTTATAGTTTCATCTGATGTCATTATTCGATAATAAATCTATTCACAAAGAACAGCTGAACAAATTTGATAGTTTGGTTCACATACAGCTTTGATTCAGCTTCTTTTAAAGGATTTGTATCTTTAACGTATTTATATTTCCCTTAATTTAGCCTCAGAATTATAAAATTAAAAAGATGTAATCAAATGAGTTGTTGCAATTCAAAATCACCTACGCCGTTAAATGTAAATGAAAATCACAAAAAGAATGTTGATGAGACAAATTTATTAGTTCAAGTAGTAAAACACATACTTCGTCAGAAAGTGTTTTTAAGAAGATGGTAATTGGAACTAATAAAATATATATTGAAGATAGTTCGGACTATAGCGCGATACTAAACTTTTTTTTTTGTATGTTGCTCCGAAACTCTCATTAAAAGTTATTTAACTGAAAGAACTCCGGATAAATTCGCTCAATACATTAATTAACACTTGAAAAGCGAGTAAATTTTACCACACTATTATAATTATTTTCTTTAAAAATTGACATTTGAAAGGTTTATAACAACCGTTTTACATTTTAATAATGCATAAATTGAATACTAGTCTTGTGAAAAATAATTTCCATGGAAGCAGTAATTGCTCAATACGACTATTATTTTTTCTATGATGTAAAGCTTCCTTAAAAATGCATACCGATAGAAATGCGACTTTCCTAGGGAAGAAAGGCTCAAGAACAGTTTTTTTATCAAATTTAAATGAGCATGTCGAGGAAATATATGTCTCGGTCCCACTGCATTTAAAGCCCTGAAGCACCAAAGAATGGAAGAAAGGACAACACTGGAGAAATGATTAAGTGAGAGTCCTGCCTCAGGATTGTCATTTGCAGACTCAGATGATTTAGATTTGAAAAGAACAATTCGAAAGTATGAATAGTTCCAGACAATGCGCGAACTAAAGGGACAGGCCTTTAAATAATCAATTGATTGTTGGAACTAACTGCATATAATGCGTTTATTTTGCATGGTGTACTTTCTATATTTTCACCAGCTCTACCCCGTTTAGTGGTGCAGAATTTTGTCTTAAAACTTAAATGCTTAAATGATTTAGAGTACAATGAACTTCTTGTTAATTCTAATGTTCGGTTAATTTACACAAAATATTATCTCTGCACGTAGAGTTTCACATATGCTTTCTAAAATCAGCCTTTGATGGCTTTCACATTGACAGTAATCATAACTGGGATGTTGGTTATACATATAATTTAAATCTTGTGCCATCTACACCGAAATTAGCGGAATGAATTTAAATTTTCTGCCGTCGTGAACTTCTCCTCAATAACTAAAATAATGATTTTAAAATTAAATGATCCTAAAGTGTAATCTAAAACAACAAGAATGCGATTTAGCCAAATATTCAGTAAAGGAACTTCGCCATTTCAAGACAGATGAAATTCTTGTTATATATAAAGTATGTTGTTGTTGTTTAGCCTTATCTCACTTGTCTGATAGTAACATCAGAAGAAGCCCACGAAATTCAACGTGGTAAGGAATGCAAGACTGTGCCAGTCATTGGCAAGAGCCTTGAGCACCATACAGGTGACAGAATGATTTCGTTTAGTTCCGCTCCCAATTTTGATGGAGATCACCAATGGGAAAAATGTGTCCGGGTTTCCTACTGCTTCTTCTCCTAACATCAACCTCTCAAGATGACTTTCGGCTCGCCGCCTATTTAGAGTGTCCCCATTTACAATCTATATACATTTACAAACATCCGTTCCTCGTTCGGTATGGCAGTCAGCGACGATAATCACTATCCCGGTTGGGCGGCATGTATAAAGTTATATGTTATGTATTATTATATATACAAAATATATAATATAGTCAAAAAAGAAGTTCATTAGTGAAATTAATTTATCAGTTACCCTCATACAAAAGGAAGAAAAGAAAAATCTGAAAGGTTTTAGAGTTTAATATTCGCACAAAAGTGTTGTTTAGGTTTTAACGCTCTTGCTGTTCTCACAGTCTACCGGTCTAGTCTTACACTCACTTCTGCTAAACCTCTAAGCATGTTTTTTTCGCACTTACTCCACATGCAGTTCACAAAATTTTAAATTTTAATTTTAACAACAAAATCACAAAATTTTAAAATATGTCTAACATATTTGACAGCATATGTCTAGAATTCCTGATGCAATGAAGTATTGTCATATTAAAAACATTGTATTTGATTTTCTTTCTTTCATTTTTTTTTAGTATTTCCTTAATTCATAATATACGTATTCAAGTTTTTTAGCAAGATGATTAACAAAAAAGTTGTTTGTCTTTTTATTAATAATGTTATGTTTTACCTTTATTTATTAAATATCACTTTACGTACATATATGCAAATTCTTCTTTATCTAATTTCTTTTAAAATAATAAACGGTGATGGTAATTGATAACAACAATTTCAGTAGTGATACTCCGTTTCTAGTAAACCAAAGCAAAATTTCATTTCGAGAAAAATAGCCTTTTTTGGGCTAACAACAGCAATACTTCACTTTGTGAAAGAAAGAAAACGAATCTTCAGATGTCATTAACAGCCAACATACTTACATCAAATATATTATATGAATCTCCCTCCCGTAATTGAAACCGTTGATAATTTCATCCGACTCTACCTGCGTATCAGGATGAAAATGTACTACAACTCAATAATTTCAGGAAGAAAGAAATCGAATTTATTTTCGATCTTAAATTAGCTTTCGCGTGATGCGAGAAAAACGAAAAATTACAGAAGTGTCTGTTATATAACTGAATAGATTTCAGTTATAATGACAGCAATTATTTCTAACTTTAATTTTGAGAGAAAGAACATTAAAATAAATACAAGCCTGGATTTAACTACATATCAAGTTTGAAATGCTTGGGAAAGCGCTACACAGATAATGCATGAAAACTGTTCTATAGGAATAAAAAGTACAGTTTGCAGTGTAAATTTGGCATATTTTTTTGAAGTTATACAAAATCATCAAACTGGTGTATCAACGTTTTGCACCTAAACACTCATCACAGAAAAGATTTCTTTTATTTGTCCTCTTCTTTTTTTTTTTTTTTTTTTCCTTTTTCTTTCCCCTCCGGAAGGAGAATATTAAGAACATTTTAGTTCAAATTTTTATTCACAGATGTTCTGAATTCTTTTAAAATGTGCAAAAGTTCTTAAAACTTTGCTCCTGAATTATCAGAAATACTGAAATGCTTACGGATGCAAAGAATTAAATGTCATATTTAGTTTTTCTCATTGTTTTTGTATGATACGAAGAGCAGAATAAATCTTACAAAACGCAATGCATGAGAAATTAATGTTTACATTCAGCTTTATACTATACAGTGTGTATATAGTAAATACATGTAAAACAACTTCTTTCGCAAAACTTAAAACAAGTTAATGTAAAAATGCTTTTTTTCATTGTATAAAACTATTTCGGAATTCGTTGGTACCAAGCTTCATTAAACTTCATTCGTATATGCATAAGAGTTGACTTTGCAGGTATACTTTTTAATACTGTTACGAATTTTGTAAATAGATAGTTGTTATTGGTGTAATTATATGTCAAATTGTTGTATTTTATGTGTAACGTAACATGAAAATAATCTAGAGAGACAAGTTATGCTGGAAAAGTAAGAATACAGGGCTAGTGCATTTAACATTGAATAAATGGGTATCTCGATAATTTGTCGAGATATCGAAAAGCTGGCAACTAATCATTGTCGTTAGATTTGGCGTGAAATCGCCAAAAGTCGCTATGCTTGGTTATAATTTGGTGACATTTTGATCCTGTCCCTGTAGCACCGTAATAAGTATTATAATTGAATAAAAGTAATTGATCACTATATTAACTTTAACCGTAAGTCGATCCTCATATTGCCTTCCAGTAATTTCGAGAAGCAGAAAGTACTAGAAATATCTCGACGGCCCGGTGAAAACTGTGTAAGTCCGAAGACAGCATCTGCTCCCAAAGGTTTTTGTTAGCTGTTAGCTCAGCCTGCGTTCCGAGTATTATCTCCGGTTTAGATTTGCTCTTCAGTGCCTTTGCATTTCATTGTGTTTAACGTTCTTATTAATTTGAGGTATAACTACTGATTGTGAAGAGTTTTGAAACTAATTTTGTGAAGAAAGTTCAGGACTCTGAAGGTGTTTCTTTTGATAAAATATATTTTTTCAACCTATGATCGGAACTCTGTGCATTCAATCTATTACGAGCCCGTAAGCATGCAACAATATTTTTTTTTCAAAATATATAACCATTTCGCTCCTAAATTTGTATTTCTCCCTCGTTAAATAATAATTAAAGGTAAATTTTTAAAAAATTGGAAGAAAAGGAATGGGATTATAATCTGGTTGGGATTACAATCCCAAAGATAAAAGTATTTGTTAAGTACTGATGTTATATATCGTACTTTAGACTGTTAAAAAAGTTGAAATTAATATTATGCAAGAATTCCTTTTTATAAAAATGCCAAGCCTGAAATTAAAACGAAGAGTAAATATTCGTAACCATTCTGTTGCATCTTATTGATTGATACTTCATTTCTACGTTTATTGCTCAGAAATTTCTTTTCTCCTTCCAATCTCATAATATATCAACGAACAAAGTTTTGTTTATAAATTTTAGAGTAATTATATTTTCATAGAATGGCAGCATCAGCCTAAAATTGAAAGAAAGATTTGAGCTACTACTATTATAGAAAAAACTCCTATCAAGCGCTATTGGGGGGGAATATATAATTAGGCTGACCAGAATTTCGTGATGCAAAACAGGAAAACTTTAACAAAATAAGAAAAAATTCAAATCAATTTACCATTAAAAGTTAAAATATATATATTTAAATCAATAAAAATTACAAAAGATCATAAAAATTTGAAAAGCTGTTTTTGTAATATATGACGATGGAAAAATTTTTAATAATTAAAAAAAAAAACTATGAATTATAAAAAAGTATTAGTTGCATTTGTGATAATTTACATCGTTTAGATACTTTTATATTACATATTTAAATTCGGTTTACAATTTCGTATTTTCAGTAATGGGGATACATTTTGTGGAATCAAAAATATAATTTTAACATCTTAGATTCAATTTATTTTTAAAAAAATACATTGTCATTTTAAAGTTTTTAAAGTTATTTAATATATAGGTGCTTCACAAACTCCCTGAACAAATTTATTATTGAGAGTTCCTTGCAAGAGATAGCGCTGTAAATTTTTGTTGTGTTATTATACGTAAATCAAATGTATATATTTTATTTGGAAATTTAAATGAACCAAACAGTTTTCATTCTATAATATTTCATAACAGCAAAATTGCCAGGTAGTCAAAACCATTACCTTTTGAACTCTTTCTGCAATGTATTAAGAACTTGTTATATTTTATCTTGACCCATTTCAGCATACTGTATTTTTTCTACTATTACGGTTTTTCAGTGTTGACCTTGAAATTAGTTTATTTCAGTGTAATGTAAACTGTGAAACTACACGGTTTTTCGCTGTGTTTGTTCTTGATAAACCATTATATAATATAAATTCAGCTATGGACATTTAATCTCAACAAAACTGATGTTGGTATGAGCACTGAATGTTGAACTTCGGCTCTCAGGATGGCATTACGATATTTTTCAACCGACTTGTAACATTCCCGGCATCCTTTTAATTTACTTAAAAAAGGCATTTTAGTTTAATTTTGGAAATCAATCTTTCATAAGAGAATATCAGTATTATTTGCGTGCGATTATGCTGCAATAAAAGAGACTCCATTTTTGTGATGGTTAACATTTGTAATATAATAAGAAATAATAAAAATATTACAGTAAAACATGATTCTGATTTTTAACAGCTTGAAATATTCCGCCATATCTCAAAATTTAACATGTGAAAAAAATACATATCCTATATTTTTTATTCTATACTCATATCACTGATAATTAATAAAATTTGTGTGATAGTGCGACAGAGAAAAAAAATAATTTCATTTGTATTGGTTTAAGACATTGTAAAGAAAATTTTGGGGACTCCAGTTCTGTTTCCTTTGTTAACTTCTTTTCTACAAGAACTATTCAATATAAATGTTATGAGTAAAATTGTTCTACAAATGACTGTGATTATATTCTTGATAGAAGACGTTCGAAGCAAACATCTTTAAACTTAAGGACAAACGCTAGCTCCTTGCTATAAAATTATTTCAGGTACTACTTTCAGGTAGAAGTTGCTCTGTGTTATATTATTTATATTTCGAGGCCCATTTAACATACATACGTGCTTGTTTAAGTCATTAATCATTAGTTGATATTTTAGATTGTGGCGACCGACATCAAAATTACAAAAATTATCTGAGCTATTATATCACTTTGGGCGTGACCTAATACTTCCAGGAGATTGGCATACTGTCTTCATTAATTGTGAACCTATTTCTGTTAGCGAAACAAAGATATCATTAAATAAGAATCATGAAATTACTGCTATTAATTTTTTATATAGTGAAACTGAAAATGACTATAATGTTATTAAAATTATTTCTGCGATATTAAATTTAAAACTTTATTCCTTTTACCTGCCTTGTTCAAACTTTCTTTTAGAAAAAAATCAAAAGCAATTTCATACGTTCAAAACGTTTGAATTTATAATAAGAGAGAGAGAGAGCTTATTTTTTTATTTCTTTTTGCATAATTTGAATAATCAGAAAACTGAACTTATTTTTATAAACTTATCGTATATGTTAACATTTGGAAGTTAACTTCTTCACTATTCTTTGAAACAAAATATGGTTTTTCGGGAATGAATCCTTTTCTGAACTATACTACTTGTATTTATTATGAGCACTTACAGAATCATTTGTAATTTCAGGTTATGTGATTCACTACAAAAAGGATTACGGATCTTGGAAGACAGAAGAAGTGTATGGAGATGTTAATACATACACTTTAAATAATCTACAGTGTGGAATGCGATATGATTTTTATATTACTGCAATGAACGGGAATGGTGAGCAAAGTGAGACAGTATCTGGTAGAACGAGTGGAAGAGGTAAATAACTAATTCCCCAATCAACTGCTAACTGTTTTTTGCGAATTTCCTACTTAATTACAATATTGTATTACTTAACTTAGTTCTGAATATTAAATATTTGCACTTTATAATTACAATCGTTAATAATTAATAACAATTAATCTGATTAAAAGTGATTAAACATGAAAAATAAATATCGAAGATTATTATCACTACAATTAAGCTGAAGTTTAAAGGTCATTCAAATAACTAAATATATCTAAATATATAACTAAATATATCTAAATATTTCATTTAATAGAATAATTCGCACTAACTGATACTTTACTTCTTATGCGCGTGAAAATTTGAATATAAATTTGTATCATTTTTCAAAAAGAAAAATAAACGTAATTTAAAGGTTTAAAAAATCAAAAATCACCTTTGCTTTGGTACATCAAGAATTGTACATAATTCGACAGCTTATGATTAAATAGATAATATAAATAATACTTACGCTATTAAAAATATAATTGTAAAAATTAAATAAAATATGTATGCGTAAATGATGTTTAAGCTGTTTAAAATTTAATGCGACTTTTTCCCAAATTTATTAAATCAATAAATTTTGTTAACCATCATCTCTGAGTAAAACGAAACCTGCCATTAATAACATCCAGAGCGCTTTATCATGATTGTAGAAAAAGCAAACATTTTTGCTTCCATAAAGGAGTAATTTCAGATATTATTAAAAAAATCTCAATAAACGCTTTTAAATCCTATTCTTCATGAAATAATTCTTACTTTATGTTGTGTATTTTCGTAGATATTATTGGATAATTTCTAGTTTTGGTTTTACAAATATTAAATACTTTAATAGGTAATACACATTTATTAAAAATTTCTGTTTTGTTCCGAATACTAACCCATATATCAAATATAAAACTACTGAAACATAATTATGAATATTTTAATATTTGCATTACTTTTTTAATTGATGGAAAAATATATATATTTCTACCTTTTATTTCTTAAAAAGCTCCCATTGCTCCTGAGAAAGAAGAACTGCTGGTGGTAAACGCTACATCTGTAACTATTCAACTGAACTCATGGAAAAGCGGCGGTTGTCCAATAACACATTTTGAAATAAAATATAAACAGCAGAGACAGAAAAACTGGATACTATTCGCTGATAGAGTGTCTTCTAACAAGAAAAGCATAACAATATCTAGTCTTGCCCCAAGCACCTGGTATCAGTTAAAACTGACATCGCATAATGAAGCAGGGCCTACAGAAGCAGAGTATATGTTTACGACTGGAGCAGCGGTTAAAGGTAAGAGTTATTTTTAATGCAAGTATAGGAATTTCCTATGAAATAATTTTAAAAATATTTGCAACTAATTATCTTACAAATGCTTATTATTGGTATAATTTATTATTAGACAGATGAAAAGAATAATTAGAATTGTTTTTCAATAATTATGAGTGCTATATTTTTCGAAATTAATTACACAATTTTGCAAACAAATCGAAGTACCAAGTAGGACTTGGTATGCATCTTGATCGTATCTTGATCGAACGTGCAAATGATTAAAGTTTCAACGCAAATGAAAAGGAATTGCGATCATAGCGCGCATTTCTAGTGCGCAAATCGCAAAGTATAAAACCAGTAACAGAGGCGAAACATTTATCTTTTGTTGTTGCTGCCGTTGTAATTCCGTAAAGAAGCAACTAAAGACGCCATTACGACGATAACGAATACCTTACAGACAACTAAACGACTGGATTTCCTGTCAATCATCTAAAAGTTTTTAATTTGGTATACAGTGTGATTCAATGAAAATTATTTTATTCAACAACTTCAGAAGACATAATTATTGAACCAAGCCCTGCCATACTAGTTCCCTTCTTCACGCATGTTGTTTGATCACGATGTCCACGCAGCCGAAGATCTGGAGTGAAAACTGTTTCGCAGCGCGGCTCGTAAATTTCAAAAGCAAAATGCTAATTAGAAAAGTATCTCTAAAATATTCGTATGCAATTACATATCATTAACTTGTACGGCAATTTTCGTTTTGTATGGAGATTGATACCTATCTAAAGGTGGCTGTTTTTATAATTTTACAGAGATGGAAATGTGCCTTATCGATACACTTAAAGTTACAAGGCTATCATTTTTGTTAAATTTGTCAAGAAGGTTATTTCAAAATCACTCACAAATGAACATGTGCCGTACTTCAGCTCTTAATAGCATTCGGATCTAAGATAGCAGCAGTCCAATGCCTCTTTTATATTAACACTAATTTCACCTTCTTATTACACATGCTTTGCGAAATGTAGAAATTATTCAATGTATTAGTTGTAGGGCATGGATACAGGAGCATTCTCATTTGTTTTCTACGAGTACGTCTTTCAGCTTGTTCAATGCTGCTGGATGATTTGATTATTTCTCAGCGATAAATCACTGAAACATGTGTCACACTGACTTGTATCCTATGGGTCTAAATTCAGAATGAAATAACTGTTTGAAGCAAATTATATCGAAATTTTGTTCAAGTGGTTTGTTGAATCGCTAATTTGTAACTCGCCTGATTCAGAATTTCAAAATATGTTCTTAATACCGTATATACCCGCGTATAAGTCGACCCCCCACTTTCAAAATCGATCGAGAAACTTCGAAAAAGATTATTTAAGTATTACATTTATTAAAAATCATCTGAGAAAAAAAAGTAAATATACGATAAAAAATACCTTGGTAAATAAACAAAATCAAAACCCTTCAACGTCAGATTCATGGTCAGATTCGCCAAACATTTCATAGAACTCTTCTGTCGTCATTGGCTCGTCATCATGCATTTCTCTTTTCTTGGCGTGTTGGCGAAACTTTTTATTGCTCGATATTGATCGGTTGTTCGAGGGCCGAAAATTCCTTATTTTAATCGAAACTTACTCTAGTTAAAGTATGAAACTCTGTGATTAGTTCATCACATAATTTAAGTCATGAAATTACTTCAAGTAAGAGACTTATTTGATAAGTCGTCCAATTTGAGTGCGGGAAGAAACAACTGCATTATATAAAGAAATTTTTGAACTTCCGATTCTTTTAATTTTTGTGGCCCCGCGTATAAGTCGACTTTCCCCAAATTTGAAGTCTTTTTTTTTTCTCCAAAATATCTCGACTTATACGCGGGTATATACGGTATGTTCTTTCTAAACTATTTGGAGTAATTGTTTGAAGAAACTTATTTCGAAATTTGGACTGAACTTTGTTCAGTTCCGCACCCAATTTCAAAGGAGAGCACCCTGGGAAGACGAGTGTGACGGTCTCCCGCCCCTCTTTTCCTACCATCAAGCTCTCGAGAGGACTTCCGGCTCGCTGCATATTTTGAGTGTTTCCGTGTCGCACAAACACTATACATTTACAGGCATCCACGGCTTCTACATTATCTGAACCCGGGGTCTTTGGAATGAATGATAGTCAGAGTTACTAACTGTTGTCCCGGTTGGACGGAGAATTTTTTTGCAATTATTATATCTGATGAATAAATACATTAAATATCGTTATCTGTATGTCAAATAATTTCCATGTATTTTAAATTAATTAATTATTAAAATTTTATTAAATTTTATTAAATTTATTATTAAGGCTATTTTTCACTTATTTGTTTGTTAATTGTTCTGTACAGAATACCTTTGAAACTACTGAAAATTTACAAAGTACAAACCATACTTGATTACGAAAGTACTAAACAGTAAGCTAAAATATATAACGTCATTTTTGATGTTGCTTAAAATGCATATTTAAAAATTAGCGATGTGAGAAATTCTAAAAATGAGAAGAAAATTAAATATTTTCCTCCAAAGAATGTAATTAGCATTATTCTTTTAAAACTGCAAAATCTTTCTTGTTCATAAATGGGAGCAATTTTTAATGTCTAAAAATATAACAAGCTTAACGAATATTTTTAGACTTTTCACTTGCGACAAAATACGTTTAGTTGCATCTTTGCTTTTTCAACTTCATTTCGCTTTTACATTTTACCCTTACGTCTTCTACAGATACGTTTTACACATACTCCATGTGCTACGTCTTTACTCCTACGTCAAAAGAAAAGATATGCCTATTTTGAACGTAATAAAGCATTTGCAATCCTATTTTTCAAAATAATTTGCTTAAGTTCATGAAAATACTTAACAACTTATATACTTTAAAACCTTGAAGTTATCATGGATTCTTATCAAGTATGTCAATAAAATGTTTGAGGCATTTTATCAAATAAAAATAATTTTTTAATATTAAAAAAAAAACACTTGAGGCGCGCTTTTCAGAGATCAAACCAAAAACGATGAATCCTTTAATATTCACATTCATAGAATACAGAATATATTTGTCTGTAGTATCAAATAAAATATATGAAAAATTTATGTTCAGATAGTTTCAAGTCAAAATTCATCATTTAATAATTAATTTTTCTCTTACAGGAGCTTTACCAGATACAGTACTAGTGAGCGGAGAACCTCTTCCATTTTATTTGGAGTTGGAAGTTGTTTTGCCTGTTTCTTTGTCTTTGGTTGTGGTAGTAGCTGTACTCGTACTTGTATGTCTAATTGTCCGAAAGAGAAATCCTACTGAAACTTCTCAAACAGGTTTGTAACGTATTTCGTTTTTAGAATAAGAAAAAAAATTAGTTAATCTTTTTTTGTTCAAATTATAAAAATAGCATCAAAGCATTTTTCAATTAGTTAAATACATATATACAGATCTATTTTAAAAGACTAACTGGTTTCATAAAAGTTTTCATGCAAATTATAAAATATTACTTTAAAGCCTTTTTTTAAATATTTGACGTAAATGCGATGAAGCAATAATAAATATTTTGAATAAAATAAAATACCCAAATATTATTATAACGGATCGTCTGAAAGCTTGCAATCGACAAAGATTATGCCAAAAATGTAACAGTTTATCATATATATGCGAGCATTCATGTCCCTATTTTCACTTCTAAATAACACTAATTGAATTACCAGATCAAGAGTCCAAAGAATAATATAGCTCAGGCTTCATATGTCAAACAAAAAATGATGCTTATGAAAATCAGCTTCCAAAATCTGCTACAGATTGTTCAAAATGTTAAAACATGGGATCTATTAAAAGTAATAAAAATGAAAAAGTAATAACAATTAGTTAACTTTTTTTTGAAATTTTTAAAGTGCTGAATATTATATTAGTCATTTTCAGAAGTGTAAACATAATGATACATTACCTATATTTTCAGTTTTTTAACATTTGTGTAATAAATAAGTGGATTCCATTTACATGCGAGCAGTTTGAATTTAAATCCTTTTTTTTTCTCTTTGTCATTATAGCAAGTACTACATACGTTTCTAGAAAATCTCAAGCTGGTGAATCGGTACATTTATGTGAGATGGAGAAGTCCACTTACCAGCGTCCTGTCAGTCGTGCAGATCCTATCTATTACCCAACGCCGTATGCTACAACGCACATTGCAGATGGCCCTTGCAGGAAATCATTTGAAGCAGAAGAGAGAGAGGTTTGTCGTTATATACATTATCTCTGTCGCTAACGAATTCTGAAATAACATTTAATATGGCCAAATACCCAGCATTTATTCAGGTTAGTTACATTGTTGGGAATTAAACATAAAATGCCCCGTGAATAAGTCCGTATCCTTCTTCAGTGGGTTACCGTTTTAACCATCCTATGATTTTATTAGTATAAAATACACTGCAATACACAATAACATTGCATCCATACATTAAGTCATAAATCACTAATCATTCAGTCATTCAGTGAGCCTCCCAGACGGAATAGTGGACTGATTGCGAAAGTAAAGAGCCCGAGTTCGAATCCCGGAGAAAGCATGGATATAAAATTGTCTTTTCCTTCATAGAAGGTAACGATAGCCGCCTATTAGGTGCCTCCACAATACAATGGTTACCACTTCGGGTCTTGGGTAGTGGCCAATGCCGTTATAGGCAAGTGCCCGCCATTGGAAAAAACATCAATGTGTTAATTTTTCTTTACTTGACACTCTATTCTGATTTACCTTTGAAATTGGTCAAAACGAGTTAAAAAAGCGAGTTGTTAGCAACATACAAGTTGCTGTTGGTACCCATCAAATTCCAAACTGAATAGAAACAATTGAATAACGAAAAGCGAAGGCTTCACAATACAGTGTTGCCAACCCTATATAGAACGGCGCAGAATTATGGCATATCCCAATAAATTTCTAATACCTAGTATCGTAATTTCGCGCGTATAGTCCGCGGACTATCTGTGTTTAAAATGCGAATTTTTGAAGCTGCGGACTATCCACCAGTGCGGATAATACGCTGGTTGTTCACGGTTAAAATCGTTGAAATTTAAAAAACACGCTGTCGTGAACTGCCGATGATCAAATATAAAAAAAGCGCGAGATTCCAAGAAAACATTCGTATGTATCGTATCGATAGTAAACCATAATGAGCATAGTGCAGAACGAATGAGTAGTAGCAAGTAGAGCTCCTAAAATCCAGGCTCGCGCATCAAGCGATGCCGGGATATGAGCCAAAGAAAGTCTTGTGTGAGCACTCACTTAGCGCAACCAGTCTTGTATCCCAGTGTCCTTCGCACTGCTTTAGCGCAACTGCCGGGAGGGGGAAAAGTAATGCGTCAGCTCGGTTTTTAGGAGCCATAGTAGCAAGTACCTGGAGTAGGAAAAAAAAAGCGCGATTCGTTTACTTCTAGCGTGGTTCGGCAACACCGAGTGAGTGGGGTCGAAGGTCACATTTCATTACCACTTATCACGAGTATAGCATGTTGCACAGTATTTTGTTTTCGTATTTTGTCTTTCATCTTCGATAACGTTGATGAAACATCGCCGAAGTTTTTACTGCTGAGTTAAACTCAAGGTAGTTGAGAAAGCTGAATAAGATGAAATAGAGAAGCGGGCCGTTATTGGTTTAATATTAGTATTCGGTGCACACGGGATTTGGCTACTTTTGGCGACTTTATGATGATCAGTGAAAACGGGACATATACGATGAGTAGTTAACGGGTCATTCAAAGAAAATATATAGTTAAACATAGTATATACTATGTATATAGTATATATACTATGTATGTATACTATATATATAGACGTTCTTTGGATCATTTTTGGTGTTGGCGATAATTTTCAAAGTCGCACCAAGGCTGCACCATATACTAGGATTTTACCCCGTTATTTTGAAGTGGACGAGAAAGCGGTGAGAAATTGGCGCAAACAAAAGGATGTGTTTAAAAGGCATGGGAATATTGCCGTATTAAAAAAACGTAATTTCGGACGTATAGTCCGCGGACTATCCGGTGGTGCGGACTATCTGACGATTTTTGAAATTTTTTTTATATAAAATCGTGTCTGCGGACTATACGATGGTGCGGACTATACGTGCGAAATTACGGTACTTTCTGGTACTAAAAATGTTTGTTTTAAGCATTTAATATGGAATTCTAATACAAAAGAATATGTTTCATCTCTTTCAATTTTATAAGATAAAATTGTTTTACAAATTTCTGTGCGCAAAGGGAATGTAAAATTTGATGAATTTAAATATCTTGTTCTTCTGAATGTTTTTCTATGTGACAAACTACTGTATTGATTCCATGTTAAGTAATTATACACCAGTTTGATGTAAGATTTTGCGAATGTTAGTTAAAAAAAAAATTACTTCGTTGGTTGTTAATGAGGTATCCGTGTTACAAAGTGAATAATTATTTCTAAAGTGCAGTTATTTAAAACGATAAAAGTTTTCAAATCACTGAAGTAAGTATACTATTGAATTTCGGAAATATCCATGGTTCTGTAAGAGATTAATAAATATACTGTAATAATCTAATTTATAAATTGCTTTTGAGAATATCTTATTAAGCGTGCATACACATATTTTTTAATTGTGGTTAAAATGAAATACGAATAACTTCATTATTCAAACTGAAAATTATACTATGTATTTAAGCATCGATGTATCAAAAACATTAAACAAAAATATATATAGAAGTACCATACCAGCAGACCCACTGAATGTGTACCTGCTTGTCACATTTTAAAAATGTTTTTGATTTTTCCTTAATGGTACGTAATGAAATAATGCTCCTGAAAAAATTCCTGGAAAAAAAGTAAATAAATACTTTATTTTCGAGAAATTTAAACCATATTATGTAAAACTGTAGTCTAATTCAAACCTAACACTTAGACCTAATGTCACTTTTTTTCGGAAAGCTCTGATAAATTAAATAGTAAATTAAATGATATATTTTATCGAAATTTATGATATAGAGTTTCAAAAAGTAATTTTAATATTTCAAAAGTTTTAATAGAAGAAACAATATTGTGAACATACATTCAATAATGATGCTTTGATTGTTTCATTGTTTTAATGTTATAACATTAAAATAAAACATTTTTATTTTTCGCTGTCATATAAACGATCCAAAAGTGAAATTTCTGTAAAATGCGTGCAACTTTTGGATTGTTTATTCTCCTATCAGTAACATTCCGAGTTCCATACTAAAGGTCCCCATTCTGGGTATGAATTCCCAGAGTATTTACAGGATTCTTTGCCAATGGGTTTAATTTACATTGGTCAAAATGAGAGAGCCTTAAAATTTCGCGTCAAGGAACATGAGGCATATGTTAGAAAAAAGTAAACACAGAAGTCCTCTGTTACCCAGAATTGTTGGTTCGAAAATCACACTTTCCATTTTTCTGCAGCCAAAATTATTCAAAAAAGTCTTTCATTGGTGAATTAGATTTTCTAGAGGCGTTTCACATCCAATAAAACCTTTCTGTTCTAGTTAACGATCCTAATTCCAATCCATCTTTACCTTCAGCCTTTAAGGAAATTATGATTTAGTTTTCTCATTTCATAAATAGATGGCGCCAATAGCTAAGTCCTGTCTAGCCATTCCTATCACTATATCTTATCTCGTTCATTTGCACTTTGGCAGCTGATCATTGTTTAAAAAATAACGATAATAATAACCCGGAAAAAATACCACCATTTGTAAAGAGCCACATTTTTTGTAAATTATTATTAAAGCATTGATTTATCATTGCTAACAACTCTCTATTTCTTTGAAATTATTACATTACATTTGGTAACACGCGAATGTTAATTAATACAGTAATTACATATTAACGCAGTTACATATTTTAAATTGCAAATACATGAATTTATGTTAGTGATTAGGGAATTTAAGCGGACTGTTTAAAAATGTATAATACATTTTAAAAGAGTTTTAATAAATTTTATTCGAAATGCACAAAATTTTCAACATTACTTAATTATTAACATTAAACAGAGCATTAATAAGTGTGTGTGTGTGTGTGATTACGGCAAAGCCTCGAGGGCTATCTGCCTAAGGGGAGGGATGCCTTCGTGGAGGACTTTCTAAGGGAAACTGTCTCGTCTACACGTTACACATGGGGAAAACCACGAAAACGCCCATGCAGCCAGCCCGTTCGCGGGATTCGAACCTCGGACCGAACTACCAGTGTTCAGCGACTTTACCGCTCGGCCGCTGGTGGGCTGCATGATTAATAAGCAGTGGGTTAATTATTAACATAAAATTTAATACTGATAACTCATAAATTTTTTAAACTGTGTTATTGTTTAAAGGTATCGGGTATTAAAGCTTCTAATAGATGTTTTACTTAATTAGTTAGAAACATTTGCTGCAAATGTATCAAATGTTATCAAAATGTCTTAATTTTTTTATATGTAGCTTCAAGAAGAACCTCAATATGCAACTGTAAAAAGGACAGCAAGACCTCCTAAATCTGATGTACATATATATCACTATCCTGGTAATTGTAGTTTAATTACTTGACTCTTAATTTAATTAGTAATTATTTATTAATTATTATAAGCTAACTACTTATTAATTTATAATAAACTATTAATGCAATTGAGCAATAATATTTTGCAACTGTAGGATTTGAATTTTGAGATAAATGTTTTAAAATGTTTGCATTTTTAATAATGAACTACTGAATTTACTGTGCTTCCTTTGGACTTTTAATTGTTTTTATTGTACCTATACTATACACGAATAAATTGGCAAAATATTATGCTCATTTGTCTTTTTATGACAAGTGTTCTCTGGGGGAAAGCAAGCACGCATTTAAGATTCAAAACCAATTTTCTTTGCTTTAAATTTAGTTATCCTACCAGTTTTAATAATTTTATGATTAAGTAATTAGTTTAATGTAATAATTAATTTCAATAAGGGGCATTTTTAAATGCTTGCTTCTCAATTGTATCTTTAAATATAGATTTCTGTTTACTCATATGCAATGTTGTAATTATAAAAAGTGAGTTGAAAGTGGCGCTGTCCTTTCTAATAAATTCTTTTCTGAAATCTGCATTCAATAATTATAGAAATGTTGATTTTTGGCAATAATTTTGCATTAGCTTTCATTTTATGAAATTCAGTACGTAAATTGTTTCGTATTATTATTACATCAAGAATATCTACAGAATTCAAATCTATAAAAATTACTTCTGTAAATAAAAGTGTAATTTTGTGAAAAAAATAGTAAATCTGAAATTATAGGTTATGAACTGCAGATTTGTTAACTTTGTTTTATTAAAGATAGTTTATTTTGATGTTCAGAGAAGTGAATCCTGAGGTACTCTGTTATTTGAACTGATTTCAGTGATTGAAATTAGTAATCATGATAGAACTAAATTCTTCTTAACAATTAATTATGCTGTAAAGCATGCGATCTCTTAATTGACAATAGTACAATATTACCCTCATACAAATGAGAAAATTTTCATTTAAAATTAATTTTAAAGGATTAATACCTTATGCATGTGTATATATATATATATATTTCTGCTTAGTGCTAGTGTAGTTTTTGGCTTTTATAGCTTACATGACATTAAAATTTAAATAAAAATTTAGTCCTATATGGTAAATCAGAAGTCAATTTATTTTACTGTTATAAAAATAGAAAAGACAACACATATCTAGATAGAGACTTACGAGTATAAAACACGCACTGTTTCTAAAGCAATATGCATTGTATTTCAGTTCACATTCCCCTAGAGCTCTTAGATGAACTCCAAGCAACCTCGTCCCAGTGGGATGACGGGGGAAGGTCTTCCATTTTGGATACTGGAGGATACATAGGTTAGTTAAAAGTATATTATAAGTAATTTAATATAAAATACAGTTAGCTGTTAGATCAGCTGGTTTTGTAGGAGTTATTGATAAAACCTAAAATAGTCTTTACCAAATTGTTGGTTCGGTCTTAATTTAGTATTACATAACAATTCTTTAAGAATATGATCTATTTTTTAAAATATGCAGACTCTCCTCAAAGTACACCTTATATTATGTGACTAAACCCATACTGACTTGCAGTATGGACAAACATAGTAAAAAAAAAAAAAGGTCTATTTAGTAAAGAAAGCATTCCATAAAACTATATTTTTAATTCCAAATTCGAATTCAAGCCTGATTTGCGATTTAATTTAAAATATTCAATCATGTTAGTTTATAATATATCAGTAACTTTCGACAGTTTCAGCAGCGAAATGCTGAAAACACAGGCCTTGAACTAATTCAGAATATTTCACATCATGCTTTATAAGTATTTGTGTGATAATAAAATCACCCATCTCTGGCATTATTCGGCCAAATATGTATTATTAAATACACAGACAACCTCTCCTAAGTGAATATTGTCAGACAAACTTTAAAAAACTGTCATTTTATTCATATGTAATAAAATCTTTTTTGGATTTTTAATCCATTTTAATATTAGATTATAATTTTGGATTCATATCCTGTCATCGGATAAAATTCGGTAAATACTTCTCTTTTAAGTTTTTGTTAATTACCTCAAGTTTGTTTTTAAATATAATACTTTCTTTAACTGTTACATTAACGAAACAACAGTAGTTATTGTATAAAAGAAATAAGTTACCGTAACATGTATAAAGCTTGCATTAACTGAAGTAAAAACAGAAAGGAAATAATCAAATAAGAGTAGTAATCAAAATCTAATGCATAATCTTCATACGAATGTTGTGTATGTAAAGATGATTTAACTATTTCCTTGTTCTTTGAAAGCAGATAGCTAGATTTTTAAAAGCCTATATCGAACTTTTGCAATCTAGCAAAAAATGAGTTTTGGATTAATCTTGGTACAGTTGCCTTTAAATGGTTAAAAGCTTAAATGAATTGAGTATTTAATACAATTTTTTTGTATTTGAATTTAATTTATGTGCCTTTCAGTCATAAATTTCTTCTGATTTCTTTTGAGGTAAAACTTTAAATGAAACCAGGGAAGAAAGGCATTAGTCTTTGTTAAAAAGCAACATTATAAAATAAGTTTATCTTTGGTATTTAAAGAAAACTAAAAATCCATAACAACATACTTAAGAATAGATCAAACCTATTCTGTGATCAACAAATAAACTGTTAATTGTTCAACACGAGCGAAATCTTTAGTCAATAAAGCATATCTTACTAAGAATTCTAACATCTTTGAACTAATTCAGAGATATAAATAAAACATGATATCAGAAATAATGACGAGCTTATGTTAATGCAGATTTCCGATTTGATTATAAATTGCAGATGAGTAACATAGTGAGTAGCAAAAGCATTGAGTGTTCGGGTGCCATAAGTCTGCCTTGTAATAATTGAAAAATTCAATCGAAACAGTAATTAATTATGAGTGACAATACGTATGTCTATAGGGAAATTTAATAGCAAAATTCTAGGTTAACTAAAAATATTGGCCAGAAATGATGTAGAGATATTGCAACAAAATTCATAAATCTTTAATAAATAAATTTAGTATCTTATCTTATTATTGAGATTTTAGCAAGATATAAGCCAAGGGAGTGTAATATATTAAATCCGAAATTTTATATGTAATATTCTCCTCATCAGTTAAAGCTTTGCTCTTTTTTTTCTAATTCCAATGCTTTGCTCTTTGTTTTCTGATTCTGATGCTTTGCTTTTTTTCCTAAATTTATTGCTTCGCTTGCTTACTCTTATTGTAATGCAAAAAAATGAAATTTCATTGCAGGTCGAAGAAGTTCAAGAGTTACGACTTAGTTTTTGTTACATTTTAGGAAGAAATAAACAAACATTATGCTGAAAATAGCAGCCAAGCCTATGAAGTCTTTACACCTGATGAGTGGCCTAGAGAACTGACGTCACCTTCCTGATCTGTGATGTGCTGTGCATAATTCGCCTGTGAGGAAATAATTGTAATCTGTAACTTGGAAATTCATCCGTGCAGCAGTATCAGGCGTCATGAGAGATACAACCATAATTGTGATGACTGCTTTTTTATGCTATTCATAAAAATGTTATGTATCTAGTGTTAACTGCATTTATTTAACAATGCATTTTATTTCCAAACTGCCAGAGGTTTACTATACATACATATATGCATATATAAGTTTGTTGTGTGTATATATAAGTTTTTTTTTTTAAGAAAATGTGATTTTATGGTTAGATATTTCATTTCTGTTAAGGTACATGAAATGAAATCAAGTCGTTTAATCAAAGTATAGCCTGCTTTGAACGTTGTAATGATTTTAATGTATAAATGTTAGAATTCTTGTTAAACGTTATGAAAAATGGTATTGTTGAAGATCTTTATCAGGTTATATTATCTGTTATGTTATTTGTAATTCCACGGGTGTTAAACCATGTATATTTGAAACATTATTAAAATCATTGTATATATTGATTGAAATTATTATAAATGGTCAAATTGTTCCTCTAAAATAAAAACTTCTTTAAGTTATATGTTTGAGAATGGTAAGAATAAGAAATATTGTTTTCTGCTGATCTATAATAAAAGTTTAATTTTGTCAAAATATTATGCATATAACTGAAAACAAATTATTTATTTATTGACCTCCAACTTGAAAGAACCTAAAATCATTAAAAGTTTTAATAAACTGCTGCTTTATTATTGTCTGTTTTCTGAAATATCTAATAGCATTATTTATGTAACATTTGTGAAATTATATACCTTCTTATGATATAATGGGAATTTATTCCTATTTTTTTTTACTTTCGGGTAAATCGGTTTCATCCGCAAGTTAAGAACTTGAACTTCATCACCTTAAATATAGAAAGAATTATTATAAAATTGTGCATTGATTCATATTCTTTTCTCTGTATTAGTAACCGAAAACAAATACTTTTGAAAACACTTGTGCTGTTTATGTATTTTGGTAAAGATACGAATCTGCCAAGAGTAAAACTTTGAAAACTCATAACGTAAATAAAATTGTTCAATTCTTTTGATTTTCGTAATATAACAAGTGAAAAGGGATTTTTGTAAGAAACTTTTTTCCAACGTAAAAGATTACACCAAATCTACAAGGTATTTGAATTTAGCTTATATATAATACAGTGTGCGTCAGAAAACGTGTACACTCTTTAATAGAAGGTATCTGCATTTTGATTTCAAATTTCAATTATCCTTAGAGTACGTACTGTATAGTGTTTGCTCACATGCCGACACTTTCATAATAATAAAGTATAACGCATATGAATTAAAATAGCCTTAGGTAACTTTAAAAGACGTCGTCTTGAGTAAGAAATCGGTTATACTGGAGGTCCGTCAAGAAATTACAGAGGCATGTGGCCAACGTTGTTCAAGCAAGCGCTCATTGTTGTTCTATGTGTCTGGTCTCTAAGGCTTGGTACAAATGAAGGCTTTCCGATTATAAGAATTTGTGGTTCTAGGCATAAAAATCATGAAGTCCATTCATACCTGTTTAACAGAGTTTAGGCCGCAGCCAATCAGGGAAGGTTAAATTCCGCATGCACAAATGTGCAGCTGGCTCAGTGAAACCGTCGACCGAATGACAGATGGGGTTGCTTCGCTATGGTTGGTCGGTTCTTATACATAGTTGGTATAAAAATGAATGTTAGAACTTTTAGGCAAAATTCTGAAGCCAGTTTTTGTACGTATCAAGGTCGGGTTTCCTAGCAACGAAACTCGGGTTATATTTCTTATGAAAAAGAATCATCTTGTAAACGGAGCCTGATGTACATCACTCTGACTCTCTGAGCGCTGTAAGTAACTGTAAAGGTACACGTGTAGGAAGACTATTAAACACAACCTAGCTTTTGACATGTGTGATCATGTTAACCAATAATTAAGTTCAGTACTAGCACACAAACAAGAATTTTCTTTCTTTAAAGTACGCATAGGTTTTGTTGATGGACCCTATATTAATATATTTTATTTTGGCATGACGTAAGGACTGATAGCATAGATAATTTACGTTTAACTATTAAAAATCAGAAAAAAGAATTAACTCGCTTTTCTAATTTTAGAAACTGAAATCAAAAATATTTTCTTAATTACAGTCAGAGAGAATCTCTAATAAAAATTTATCTCATAATACTTGAATGAGTAGAGAGCGTTATGTATATATAATCATGTCGCTACATTTTTTTCCTTATATGCATTTTCTGATTCATTTTTTAAAAACGTTCTTTACGAAACCATTTGAATTATAATTAATTTGTAAATGCGAAACTCTATTCTGCTGTACTGAAAGTAAAAATTAGGCATTTATTTACATATATTTAATTAGTTACAAATAAATCAATTTTCCCTTTTATTAAATTAAGAGTGCTTTGTAACTCTTGTTGTAGCTATTATTTTTGTTGTAGCTATTATTTATAATAATAGCTACAACAAGAGTTACAAGCTACAACAAGTGTTACAAAGCACTCTTAATTATTTATAATAATAGCTACAAGCATTATTTATAATAATAGCTACAACAAGAATTATATTTTATTATTTTATCAATAACTAGTTAAAATTATTCATATATGCTATATAATATACTGAGGAAATACATTTACATACCGGCTAGCCACAAATTATATTTAGTATATAAATCTTCGATGATTTCTTGATAGGATAATTAAAGAAAATAGATGATTTGATAAATAAGAATCCCGGATGATTTGATAAATAAATGATTTGCTTTTTTATGTTGGAAAATCAAACATCTTATATCAATCGTATCAACTGCACGAAATTAAGAAAATTTGTGAAAACTTATGTGAAACCTTTTTTTTTAAATTATGCAAAAATTTCATTAACCCATCCCCTTACAATAAAAATTGTTTCTGTCAGGAGCTTAAATATGATATCGAATAAAAAAATAAACAACTGTTTAAACATAATATCGAAAAAAAAACTTATTGCCAAAACATTCATATACAAGTTTTAAGTTTATATTGTTATAATGCTAAATTTAAGAAATGTTTTCTCATTCTTATCCGGCACAGTTTTTTTTTTATGTTCGTATATCATAATGCTATATTTTGCTATATTTTCATAATACAGTTTTAAAGGGTAATAAAAGTTACAAAATAGGAAATAAATGACGACTTCATAGGATTACTTTGAAAATGCTATATTTTGTACGAAGTTATGCATTTCAAATTGAAATTGGGGGAAAATTTGTTTTTGAAAATTAGCAAATATGTTCGTTTTTAATTACCTTTGACTTCATAGGTTTATTTATTACTCATAGATTATCATAGGTTTATTTATTATTTTCAAGATGTTATATCATGTTTTAAGTTATATATTCAAATGTAAATTGAAAAAAAATAGTTTAGAAAATAAGCAAATATATAGTATTTTATGTTAAAATATTATGAGCTATAATTCCACTCTCATAAATGTATGAAAACTCAACATGTGTAAGAGAATTTTCTATAGAAGCTTGTAACCTTCTGAATTCTATAACATGCATATATATGTTGGTTTGCAATTTTATGCATTGATAGAGCAGTTCTTCCAAATAATTATTACGTCACATGAAACGTAGAGCATATTTCACTTTAATGTGATAATATTTCATATGGTTCAATTATTATGGCAGCAGTTTTCTTTCAAATGTTATTACAAATGTAATAAAATTATTACAAAAGAGCACGTTTCTTGCATAGAACTGTATTATTCAGTCACAATAGAAATAGTTCAAGCGTTTTCGATAACTTAAGTATTCAGCCAACTATGGTGCTTTGATATAAAGTCTATACTTGAAATATATTTCGATCTCAATCAGCACAAAATAAAATAATTTAACTTGTTGTTTTCCAATGAATTATTTATGAATGCAATTTATGCATTGAATATATGCGAGTTCCTAATAGAGAAAATCTCTAATAAAAATAAACATAATATTATTTACATAAGTTGAGATTTTAAGAAAACAAATTATGCGCCAACGTTAATCTGTTACAGGTTGTTGTATTGCCCATTATAGGGAATAAAGCAATTAATAAAGAAAATAAATTGGCATTCAAAAAGTCTAATAGGAATTTAATGTGCTTTTAAGTAGTTAACATTGAAATGATAGTTACTATGAATTATTACCGAGTTTAATAATCGAGTTAACTGCAAATTCCAGTTATGAAGATTTGTTGAAAATGATAAGTTGTCTAACAAAAATCACCCAAACTGAGTAAATAAAAACAGATTTGGGAACAATGAAAATTTACAAAACCAGGATAATCACATGAAAGGATTATTGTATTATTGAAAAGTTAATTCAAATTCAGTTTTATTGCAGAGCTTATAGAAATATTTCATGTGTACTTAAATTTATAATGGAATCATAACATAGTAAAGATTTTCAGAATCTTAATAATAAGTCATTTCGAATAATGTAATGATAATCTGTTTTTTTATTATTGAATTTGACAATGATGCTTTAAAATTTTCAAGTTAAAAATGATACTTTTCTTCAATTTTTTGGTGTTGAATGTAAGATATGGAGGAATATTTCTGTGAATTGAATCCGTTTTATTCATATGTAAGTCATAAAGTTGATTAATATTAATTATTTCGTGTATTTTGCATGTGACTGATTTAATCTGTAATTAGAAAATGTTTACCTAACTGTGGAATTTGAACCATGCTTCAGGAAAATTGCTAACGAAAACTATTTTTTTATTCCTTATACTTCTATTTATATATAAATTATATACCCTTTAATTCTCATTATTCCATTAATCTTGACCAGAAAGACGCATTAATAAGTAAGTATTTTAAATATTTTCTATAAATTGGATAGAAAAGATTAATAATTACACCTGTATGATATAAATATCTTTCTTTAAAGCAATGGTTAATATAATGAAATCATTCACGCCACTTTCGGTGAAACAAATCAAAGAGCTAGATTAGCTATACCAAATATATTTTTACAATGAAAACTTCAGGTTTAAATTTTGTTTCTAAGCATAGTTCGCTTTTCACTAACATTTGTAAATCATTTTCTAAAAAATGTATGTTTTTTTCAATATTTCTCTGATGGACTTTATTTTTCCCAGAGAACAATTTCAAATTTAATCCAAGCATTTTTTATTCTCTTTTTCATACCATATGTCAACTCTCATAGCAGCAGCGTCATTTATATGGTATTGAATTTTTAATTGAATTGTTCCAGAATTAATTTAATTTTAGGTCATGTATTTGATGTCTTCCTTGGCATAATTATATACACGCCTTGTTAAAAACAAACGTCTTGTACATTTATATGCTTAGAGTAGAGCTCATTACTTATGTGGAAAATGTTTTACGCATTTGTCGTTAATACTGAATCATTTTAAAAATTACAATGTGCTTCCTGCCTTTCATTGAATAATAGAAGGGCTACATATTTGTTATCAACTGGTCAAAAGCTAAATTTTGTAAATATGCTTGTACAAAATGAATGTTAATGTTAGATCGAGATTTATGAATAAAATATGTTTGCTATGACTGAGTTAGAATTGCCTTTTTCAGTTATTTGGAAACATTAATCAGAAGGTAAGCAATTAATATACGAATATTAATTTAGCGGAAACCTTTCAAATTTTACCATTACGAGTAAGCATGTAAAGGCAGTGTGCGATAAATTATATATATATATATAAGACAGAGACGTTTAGTTCACAAAATTATAATTTAAACTAGCAATAGCGCATAGTTCCCCTTCTCTATCCTAAAAATATTGGTAACTTTTCTGGACTGCGTCATTTCTGGATCGATCTATGTCTTATGGCTTTCATGGTGCTGGTGACATGGCTTATTCGAAGCCTGTGCTTGAAATTTCGAGAACTGAAACCTTTCTCTTAATGCGCTGCCATGCTTCATAACTGTGCACTTTCGCTTCTATGTCTCTTCCTATTAAAACGCTGTTTTGCTATTATCAAAATTGTAAATATTCTTGCATAGGCAAGATTTGAGTGCCATGTGAATTGTGGCTGAAGCCATGTGAATTGTGGCATCTGTCAACTGAAGTAAAAATGAATATTTTATTTTCCTCAACTTCTAAGCTTGTTCATTACAGATTCAACATTCTACGTCCTACATTATCAACACTGCTATGCCTTTTCTACCACACACATGTATAATGTTATGTAAGTACGCGTTCGTAACCCACAGAACCGATGATAGCTTGATGAAATTTATTTTTTCAAAAACACTTGTAGCTCTGTAACTTTTCATACAAAAGCATTCGTACAGTTGTCCTCAGTAAGATAGAGCTCTATCTGTAGTTACCACTTCATACTACTAAAAACAGTGAATACACTGCAATGAAAAAATTCCTAAAACGGATAACGTACCACAGGTGACAGGTGAGAGCAGGTCCGAACAACCGGAGGGCTTACACAGACTAATCGGGTATCGTCCGGATCTCGTAACTATCTGAAGCTCCGAAAATAATACAAGGCCAAAGTACATGGCCATACAAGGGCAAAATATAGATGCATGCGGAATTAAACATTTTCCAGGCTACATTGCATATTAACACACTGCTACACATACTCGCTATACTATGCATTTCATTATATGCATTGCGTTGATCATTCACTGTACTTAAGGCACATTTGCGACTCATTGCTACACTTAATACACTATATATTCTTTGCAACGTATTACGCTAAACATTTTTCTTGACAAATCAACATAGATTCTGAACAATGTAATTGATTAAATAAGACATAACTTGATTATATAGTACTTAACTTAGTTATATAAGACAGGCTTAAATAAATAACTTGATACAACAGATAAGTAAATTAAGAGCTCTTAAATAAAGAGCAAAATTGCACATTACAAACAAATTACACATTTGCCCTCAGAAATACACGTTGTTTACTTTGTGCTGTACTTATAATATACAAAATACAGATTTAAGGACACAGTACAGCCCATATGACTTTTGATTAAATAACATTATGTTAAAAGTTCACTGTAGGATAAATTTTGCTGTATTCTTAAAACATACCAAAAATAGCTTTGAAATTAAACATTCTATTGGTCACATTGCACATTAACACACTGCTATATATAAAAAACTCAATACACTAAAATTTTTATTATACATATTACATTGAACACTGCACTGTATTTAGGACACCTTACAAAACTCATTTCTACACTTAATGCACTGTGTTTATTGACTACATATTACATTGAACATTACTCTTGATTAAAGAACTTAGGAACTGGTAGTAACTCTTTGTTATATACAACAGAATTCTTAATACAAAAATTCTTTAAAAACTGTTAGAAATACACATTGAGGAAAGAAAATTACAGAATGCAAAAACATGCAATCATTACTTACTGCTGTGAATTTCACATGCAAAGTACAGGTGTCTTGTTTGGCAATCCACAGCATTTTATACATGACGCATAATACGTCCATACAGGGGAATATTCATAATTGCTTTGCTCAATATCTTTCATCATGTTAACTGAACATGTGCTAGATACATTAAATACTGTATTTGCCATGCACTATACATTTCATAACATGCACGTTAACACACTGTTATATATAAATCACTCAATACACTAAAATTTACAGAATGCAATACTATTTATATACATTAATGTGCTCATTACAAATATAAATACATAAACTATTTACATTTGTATAATATTATATGATATTTACATTTGTTTTTCGTGTTCCCAGCCTAATGTTACTCTGCGCACTGAGTCAAGATGGGCTTCTTGCAGAGGCCACCAGAAACCAGTGTATATTGAAGCTCTGAATCTCTGCAAGATTGAAGTATGTTATTGTGGACTGTATAAATCTAGTCCTAGTGCTTCAAGTTTGCACAATATATGTGCATAACAATGTTCTTCTCGGAAGTATCATTCATCATCTTAAATTTCCTACATTTGTTCAAAGCATGAACTCTATTACAGCACGCCTAGTTTTAAGATTCTGTGATGTTCTAAACTGAAATTATTACTTTTACAATGAACTTTGGTTCAGTTCTTTATTTATAACAACTTGAACTTTATAAAAACCTCAAATTTAGGAAATAAAAAATATTGTTAGAATAACGTAAGTAGTGACATAAATGCTTATCTAAATTAAAGCTATTCTTTGACATTGTAATTTAATAATATTGATTCTAGGGTAAAATGCTTCTTAATAATAATTTGGCGCTTTTATCTGGAATAGCCATATTAATAATATTACTGCGGCTTACATACAAAATCTACAGATATCAGCCTTGTTGTTATAAACATTCCTCCAATTCGTTTTCATAAAACCGAAATATTCCAGGGCAGAATTATGACTAATGGCCGAATTATGATACTTGAGAAGATGAGCGAAATTCAGCCAGTAACAGTGTTTGAACAACGACTTCCATGTAGTGATTATGAATATCCATATTGTAACTATACATATTCATAAATGAAAGCAATTTTCTTTCTATAGAATAAACGGAAGAAACAATCGTTTGACCGAATTACAATTAAAGACAATGACAATGACAGAATTACAATTTACTGTTATAAAGGCGATGCTCAGCCCAATACACGAATAATGCAATACAACCCTGTTAAAAACTGAAATTAAATAATTTCATTCGTTAAAATTGAAATGCACTTTATTATATCAACACTTAACTAGTTAAATGAAGACTCATTTGAAAGCTGAAAAGAAGTATTCAGTAGAACTACGGTATTAAGTATGATGCAAAGGATGATGGTGGTTTGAATGATATTGGCTGGTTTTTAAAGCTAATTTCTTCTTTTATTTGGAAAATACGTGGTACAGCATTAGTACACTCAAAATTGCAATTCACAAGCTATCATAGACTATGTCTCTAATTTTTTGTAAATATCTTTCATTAACAAAATACTTTCAATTAATGCATTCATAGGTTTCACATTTATTACTCTTTCTGTATTTATTGAAGTACAGCATGCTTTTGGATACAAATTAGGCTATGAGCAATAAGCACAGAAATAAAAGATATCAATTTCCCCATATTTTAATGTATTTTAATAATCTTTGGAATAATTCTTATTGTTAAATAATGACCCAAACCTCAGCGAAGAATTTGGCATAACAGAATTATTTATTATTTTGGAAAAAAATTACAGGTTGATGAAATATTATAAGAAATTCCTTTGTATTTTATTTATATAAAATTTAATGCTTATGTTCTAAAATAGCAGTCAAAAACGTTTTTCTGCACTTTTGTCCATATACAAGAAATTTACAAGCTATATAACAAAATACATTTGCTCAACATATCGAAAATATTTACATCAATTATATAGAAGATTTAATTCAAATTCAGTTAAATTAGTAGTATAGTAATTAGATTATTAGACATTAATAATAGTAATTAAGTAATAATGTTGTAAGAATTATGTTAATTTAATTAACAGTTAAATTTTAAGTTAAAGTTCCTTTCTTGTCAAATTCTTAACTTCAACTTACTACTTCTGGTCAGAACGTAGTTTTGGAATCATTCTGAATACTTAATGGAGCGGTATTTAAACCACGACGTCTACTTACAGAGTTAGAGAGAATTAGAGTTTCTGATTTGCGCGCGTCTGCCTTTTGGCTACTGTCTCTCTCTCTCTAAGCTGTTATTACTCTCAGCCATACTCAGGCCCTTGATAAGCTTCGTAGTCAAGTAGAGTTAAGGGGCCAACTCGTTTAGAATCTTGATAGCTTCGGCTATATCTGTTCAGTTAAGCTTTCTGTAATCGATAGCAAACCTCCAAGCTCTTTTATCCGAAGGAGGAAATTCATTCTTTTTCCTACATAGTACGACTGTCTCGCGTACTCACTATTTATGGGCGTTATTATTTGGTTCTTTAACATTTCCTGAATGTGTCCTTCGATGATTTGCTCTTTCTGTTTATCATAGCGGTAAGGTTTAGTCCTACAGGGTTTGTTGACAGTTAACCGTATATCATGCGTAACAATTTGACAGTTACCAGGCCGTTCTGAAAACAAGTTTGAAAAAGTACTCACCACTTGCTGGATGGCTTGGCTTTCATGGTCATTCAAATGGCTAAGGTCGACTTGCGGTTGTTCCACTGGCTCCACCACCCTCCGATCCATCCGCAGCACAATAGAACTTTCCTGAAAATTCAGTTTGGCCTTCGCGGCTTTTAAAAACTCCATACCTAAAATAAGTGGACTTTGCAAGTTTTTTACTACAAAGATTAATACTTTAAGGCTTTCATTTTTAACTTGTATTTGTAATGATAATTTGCCAATCCATTGACAAGTTTGTCCTTGCCCTGCTATGATTTCTGTGTTTTTATTTTTAACCTTAGTTTTAGTTTAATTTTTAGTCTCTTAAGTTCAAGCCCAAATGTCGGCTTTTATTGTACACTCCAAGACGGAGTTTTGTTAAATCTTATTGCCATAATAAAGGGTTAATTACCCTCCCATCTTGTTGTTTCTTGTTACACGAACTTAGCGATTATTCACTAACTAGTTCTTAAG